ATTCCCTGCTGCCATGAGCGACCCCAGTGCTCCCTCCAACCCCCCCACATCTGCAAGCACACCAGCAGCCACCTCAGAAGCTCCTGTCTATGGGCGGAAGAGGGCCCCATCCTGGACTGGTGCAGAGATTGTGGATCTCATAGAGGTCTGGGGTGAGGAGTTGAATCTCCAGGATCTTTGCACGAGGTGTAAGAATGCAGACAATTACAGCTGGATGGCTGCAAGCCTGGCCCAGAAGGGGCACACTCACACCCAGGAGCAGGTGCGGATTAAAATAAAAGAAATGTGCGCCAGTGGCCATCCTCCAGCATCTGCTCCCCTCCAAGTCCCTCCAGCATTCACTCCCACCCATCTCCTGGCTTCTCCTCCTAGCTCTCCCCTGGGGCCACCGAGAGCTGCGCACATGAGGTGGTGAGGCCTCTTAGGCAACCGAAGTATCCCAAAATGCCCGAGGCAGGCGCCAGTCCAAGCCCCATCCCTGAGCCCCTCTGTCCCCCTCCTTCTCCCTCTCCACAACTGGGTTCTTTCACCAGTCCCTTCCCAGTTATATATTTCACCAATAAAAATCACTGAGTTAATTGTTCCAAAACAAAAAGTCTGGTTTATTTTATCTGCAGGGGAGTGGGGAAAGGAGGTGTGGGGGAGGAAAAGCACGGCGGAGCAATGCAGAGGCCCCTTTTGGGGAAGCCTGGGGAAGCCTCACAGCTGACCTTAGCTGAAACTCTCCCTCAAGGCCTCCCAGATGTGCACAGCCCCCAGATGGGCTTGCCTATGGCAGCTGTGTGTGGCTGTTCAAAAGCCCTGGCAAGCTGCTCTGCCTCTGCCCCCCACTCTGGTAGGAAAATCTCCCCTTTATTCTCACACAAATTGTGGAGAATACAGCAGGTTGCCACCACCTGGGGGATGTTTCAGTCGCCAAGGCTGAGGCGGGTAAGGATGCACCAGAATCTCCCTTTGAGGTGGCCAAAGGCACCCTCCACAACAATGCAGCACCCGCTGAGCCTGGTGTTGTACTGTTCTTTGGTGGGGTCCAGGTAGACCATGAAGGGCTTCATTAGCCACAGGAGCAAGGGGTAGGCTGCATCATCCATGATGCAGATGGGCATGTCCATGTCCCTGATGATGCGGTCGGGGGAAAAAGTGCCAGTGTGAATCCTCTGGAAAAGGCTTGAGTTCTAGTATATGTGGATGTCATGCGCCTTCCCCAACCACCCAACGTTAATGTCTGTGAAGCAGTCCTGGTGATCCACGAGGGTCTGCAGGACCATGGAAAAGTACGCCTTCCTATTTATATAGTCAGAGGCCCAGTGGTTGGGGGCCAGGATGGGGATGGGGATATGGGTGTCTCCTCCTCCCCCGCAGTTGGGGAAGCCTATGGAGGCAAAGCCAGCAACGATGGGGTCAACATCGCCCAGGGTGATGACCTTCCACAGCAGGATGACATTGATAGCTCTCACCACCTGTAAAAACATAGGAAAACAGATTCACAGGGTTGCAGGAGCCCTTGGGAGGTCCCTGAGCCCCAGTCCCTTCCCACAGCAGGAACAACCCCAACTACCCCATCCCCAGCAGGGCTTTGTGAAGCTGGGACTGCAAAACCCCTTGGGATGGACATTCCACCCCCCACACCCGTAGGGAAGCTATTGCAGTAGTTCACAACCCTCCTGGGACACTAGCAAGAGAGTCATACCTCCATGAGCACGGCCCCGACGGTCAGTCTCCTGATGCTGAACAGGTTCCTGATGGAGCGGCAGCTGTCTGGCATGGCAAGCTTCCAGAGGGTGATTCTGACTCACTTCTGGAGGGGATGGCAGGTTGTATGTGGATGTTCCATCACCAGAGGGCAGGTGCAAGCCACTCAGAGTTCCATGAAGGTGTCCTTCTGCATGCAGAAGTTCTGGAGCCACTGCTGGTCGTTCCACCGCTCCAAAATGATCTGGTCCCACCAGTTGCCAGAAGTGGCAGCGCATGGCATGCTGGGCAGAATGGAGGGAACTATGGGGTGGGAGGAGCACCCGGGCCGGGGTGAGAAGGTGCCCCAGTCTAAGCTGGCCATCTTGGTCCTGCGGTGCCATGAGGATGCCCTGCATTAATTATATTAATTGCACCAGGAAGTGCAGCAGGAGGTCTTGAGACTGATACTACTGTGCAGTAGGTCCAGCTCCATGGTAGGAGTGCTGTAGCATCCATAAGGGTAACCAGAAAATGCGGTGTAATGTTTGCTCTCCATCAAGGAGGGTGGCAATAGAGAAGGGTCTGAGACATGGCTGAAGAGGGGAGCCTTTAAGCACAAGTCTCTGATAGCTTCAGGCAGCGGCTCCAGGAGGTGATTGCTCTCCTGATGCCCTGACGAGGGGGACTTTAAATGTGATTCAGCCTCCAATCAGTGTGGACAGGCTATTTCAATATAGATCTGTGCTATTTCAATGGGGATTTGTAGTGTGAACATATTATTTCAAAATAGTTATTTCGAAATAATTTATTTTGAAATAACCTTGTAGTGTAGCCCTAGAGATTTGTTTAAGAAAAGATCTATAAAGTGCCAGCGAAAGACCTAATGGTTGGAACCTTGACTATATGATGTGGTGGATGTAAATGTGGCAGAAACATTGTGCCCATGCCCAACAATTCAGAATTCCCATGAGAAACAAGAACTATAAAACTGATGCAATCTAGTGGAATTTAAAAGAAATCCAAGCAAATAGGGTTTTGACAGTTTCAATAAAGCTGTTGATAGTTGTAGCAGGCTTTTAGTCATTTTATACAGTTGCTAAGGAATGTGCAGCTTACAGAATAAATAGCTATGCAACGAAAGTCTTCAACATCGCTGGACTGAGAGTTGGAATTAAGTATGTTAAGTGCTTCTGATCGAAACAAAAAAGCAAATGTAAAATATGGGAAACTGGAAAAAAATGTAGGGTGAAATCCTGATCACAGTAAAGTGAGAGGGAATTTTGCCTTAGTGTAGACAGAAATAAAGTGGTTAATTTTCCAAAAGCATAAAGGCCCTTTATGTACCGGGTTCCTATTGACTGGACAAATTATTCTCTAATTTATTTATGCCTTTAAAAATCTCAGATTTAGCATCAAAAGAATTAGGATTTGGAACTGATCGAATGTTCCTGTCCTCTAACTGAGAACTAACATAGTCAGCAGATATATGTTAGCAGTGGCGCAACTCATTTAATTTAACATAAGCTTCCTTCTGATGTAAGACACTGTCACTGATGATATACAGCAGGGCTCCAGAGAAGCACAGAATTCCCCAATCTGACACCAATGAAGTTACATAACAAGAAATTTAAAATGCCTTGATCCAAACTTTGTTTGACTTACCTTGTATCCCTGATTGATACCATTGATAAATTGCTGTGGTGGAGGAGTCCATAGGAACTGGATTGTCGTGGAGTTCACGGCTACAGCTTGTACATTCTGAGGTGGTGCTGTGGGCACTGTTAAAAGTCATCAGGGAAAACAGATTAAAGGTGGAGGAATGATGGGAGGAGAAGAAAAGGTGAATTTAGAAGCCTTTAGCTACCATTCAAGTTTCACAGGAAATAACAACAGTGCTGAGAAAAGGGATGTGTGATTTATGATTTTGGTGCCCAGCAGCGACTTAAAGAGAAAGGTAATTGGGTAATTTCTCATTTTCTATTGGAGATTCCTTTAATGGGTAAAGGGAAGGGATGAAATAGTTCTTGTGGCTTATTATTCCATTGATGAGCTTCTTCTAGAAACTTGAGACAGAACCTTCGGTGATGATAGGTGAATACATCTCTTTCAATTATCCATGGCTATAAGGGCAAATCAATGGTTTCACCAAGAAATTCCTTAAATCCTTTAAAATCAAACAGGCCCTCTCAGCAGACAGACAAAGATACATTGTAAACATATAGGAATGCTAATTGAGGAATCATATTATGGTGACTGCATCTGTTTATCGTTTACTGTTCTGAAACAGAATCTCCCGTGGCATATATATTATCCCCCGGAATAAAGGATTTTTTTTCTCATTTTCTTTTTCCATCCTATTATGATATTCTTCATACAATGCATATATATTCAACTAAGATGTGCCAAACCCTCTGAAAGTCAGAAAAAATAATATGTATTAGAAATAATATGTTTTCAGAGAACTATCCATTGGTGGCCATGTTTATTTATATTCCTTAAAGAGAGGAAATTCCCATCAGTGTTTCTGAAGCTTTAAAAGTACTATTTTCAATATGTTCAAATGAGTATTTTTTAATGAAAATTAAAACTGAGTCTGGGAAATATTCCTAATTCTCATGAAGTCCAATGAAAGTTGTGACTGCTCCCTGCCTTTCAAAATCAGAGCATAAGCTTTTAAAACTTCAAATTCACTAAGTGGAAATAAAAGCATTAATGGAAAACAACCCATCCCAAACTAATAAAACTCAGTTGACCATAAGGGAGCAGATCCTCGGCAGGTACACATAGTCCCAGCTGCATAGAAGCCAGAAGAACTATGATAAATTTATGGTAGCTGTGGATCTCCTGCAATGAACCTTACAAAAGAAAAACATGGTATAAAGCAAGAATTTGGGGAAAGACATTATAAACTACTCAATCATGCATCGCTCTTCTGTTTAGTCTAAAAAAACTCCCTGATAAATTTCTGTAACATGTTTGCTACCTTTTTTCACCCTTCTATATGCACCATAAAAATATGTTATTACTCATTAACCAGAATACTATGTCTTTAAACTGACTTCTAATGTCATTACTCATGGATTATACATAATCAGCAAGTTCAGTCACAATGTATGCAGAGGTGCTCTAAATTACCTTGGGAAGTAGAATATTAGAATCCTCAGTATGCATTATAAGGCTTACAATGTTATCTCTGCTATATGAAGTTCTTATGGCTTAGAGATTCATGTGAATATTTTGATAGCATTACAATTGTATAATACATTGCTTAGGAAATATTATCCCACATAAACAAACCTCTTCTTATCAAAGATCTGTGTATTTGTGATCTGTGTATAGTCCTATTCATAGCTTCCCTGTGTAGTGTTTTGTATATTTGATGGTTCACATTAGAAAAGCTTTTTTTTATTAAAATCCCTACTTTCCTGTATATTTCTTTATTATTTTTATAACAATATATTTGTCAGAGATTTCCTATTATAGGAGAGAAGTGTTTTAAACATATTTTATGCTTAGTTTGATATTAGAAAGCTATGATCAGCGCTCTCTCTCACTACACACGCACACACAATTTTTCTCTCTAAAATTCCATCACTTGTTTCTTTAAATTAGAAATACTACAAGGAATAGTCTGTTGTTCACACAGTACAATGAATACATGCAAAGATGATTGAATATCACTATGCAGGATATATGATAGTTAAATATCAAGCCATTCCTAATAGTACATACCTACAAAAGCTGTTGTAAAATATTTTCTATACCCTGCACATTGCCTTCCTAGGGTATGCCTACACTACAAAGTTAATTCGAACTAACAGACGTTAGTTCGAATTAACTTTGATAGGCGCTACACATACAAACCGCTAGTTCGAACTTAATTCAAACTATCAGAGCGCTTAATTCGAACTAGGTAAACCTCATTCTACGAGGACTAACACCTAGTTCAAATTAAGTAGTTGGAATTAAGGGCTGTGTAGCCACTTAATTCGAACTAGTGGGAGGCTAGCCCTCCCCAGCTTTCCCTGGTGGCCACTCTGGGCACCACCAGGGAAACTCTTCTGCCCCCCTCCCAGCCCCGGAGCCCTTAAAGGGGCATGGTCTGGCTACAGTGTCCATGCCAGGTGCAAGCCTGCCAGCACCCAGCCAGCAGACCCTGCACCTGGCAAGGATTGACCCATCCACCCGTTGCACCCCAGCCCTCCCCCTCTTCCCAGGACCAGGCTGGCGG